GGGATCTGCATGATTGAAGGACATAACTGACTCTCAAAAATGGTCTTTTGACATTCACACATGCGCCATGGCAAATAGTCCCCTTTGCATACAAAGTAGATAAAGTGTACATGTGTACACATGGGTGCAACACAGAAACTACACGAATAAACATTATTTAATTCTTTGTGAGTGTGTGTGTACAAGCATTTGCTTGACTGTATGTCTGTGCACCATGTGCATGCAGTGCTCTTGGAGGTTAGAAGAAGGCATTGGGTCCTCCTGGAACTGGAGTTACAGGCTATTGTGAGTTGCCATGTGGATGCTGGGACTCAAACCCCTCTGGAAGGCCAGCTAGTGCTCTTAACCACTGAGCCATTGTTCCAGCCCCAGCTTCTACTTTTAAAGCAAAATTTAGAAGCTTTAACTCAGAAGGATAAATCTATAACATTGACAAAAATAAAAATTTTAGACCTTTAATAAATTTGTTGAATTAAAAAAATAAATTTGTTGAATAGTGCTAGTTATTACAGCTATTCTGATATACAAGCATATATACAATAATAAATTAACCATTTAATCAAGACCAATAATCATAAGACCAAGGTTCCAAATGGCAAGACTGTCCAAACGGCAGGCTAAGTTAGCAAAAGCCTGAAATATAAACAACAGGAAACAAATACATATCTGTGTATATTTTAGCAAAATATCTCAGTCTTGGTATAAATCTGTGGTTAAAAACAAAATTCTCCACTTAAGTACAGGAAGATGGAACGGTATCAGTTAAGTCACATATTTAAGTTAAAACGTCAGAAGATGACAGGAAGCAATTTATGGGTTCAGGTTGTCTTGTAATTTTCTCAAAAGACAAATACTGTACAGAGTACACACATAAGTTAAAATAAATAGCCACCATATGCACTTACTAGACATTTTAAAAGTCAAGCAACTGAATAGTTGCCTTTCCTAGTGTCCTCATCACTTGCCATTCCCTGTAACACAGTTAATGTTATAATACCAAAATGTATAACAGTGTTGACAAGAAAATGTATTATGTATCAGCAATTTATACCAGTAGAAAAATGAGCCCATTTCAATAGTGACAAGATATATGTTTATTTTATATGGATCAAGGACGATAAATCATGCAAAATAAACATTACTCCAGGGACATTTTCTTGTCTTCCCACTTCATCCTGTATCAGTTTTACCTCTGGTTAGTGAAGCAGAGAAATGAGTATTTGAATTCCATTATTGATTCTCGAGCGCAGGTACAGGTTAATCTTTTAAGTTAGTGTAGCCAACGGTCAGTTTAGTGCTCACATGTGGGTGGCTCAGGATGCAGAGGGTGTGTGCTGGCACTCTGCTGCTCGTCTTTTTCTTCTTTTAGTCCATCTAGGCCTCCAATCCCATGGGATGACTCTACCCAGAATTACACTGTATTTTCTTCCTTACTTAAACCCTTTTTGGAAACACTTGCACAGACTCCGCTGGAGGAATAACTATCTGCTAGCTGAGTCTAAATCCTGTCGAACTGAAAACAAAGATTAACCATCCCAGATGCAGTCCTAGTCACCATTCTATTGTGAAGAGACACCACGAACAAGACAACGCTTGTCGTTTACAGTTAGCTTAAGAAAATACAGGTACAGTGAGGGACTTCACATGGTGTTATGACCTACCGTCTTTGGTCATGGGAAAAGAGCCAAGAATATTCTTCCCAGGCCTTTGTTTTTACCATGAGATGATGGGAACTTGCTAGGGCATGACCTTCACGTTCTCGCTTTCAAGTGCTTTCACTTATCATAGTTTATGCAATTCTTTCTAGAGGGCCACCTTGTGAGAAAAACATTCTGCGTTCTGCCCCATCTTTCTTAAGGATTTCTAGACCTCTAATTTTATGGCCATTGGATTACATTTTCCTATTGTGTATTTCTTGGGAGGGAGTTTTCTCTCTCTCTTTCTATGTATTCATCTGTGTGTTTCCAGGAAGTCTCTATTTCACAATCCCAGTTTTTTTTTTTTTTTTTTTTTTTTTTTTTTTTTTCGAGACAGGGTTTCTCTGCGTAGCTTTGTGCCTTTCCTGGACACAATCCCAGTTTTTGCAATGGGAACACTCCCTTGTTCTTGGCAACTAGGGAGCCCAGGCTCAGGGCATGGGTAGAATTTTAAACTCTGAATTCTTTTCTCAAAAGACAAACTCTCACATCTTTCTCCAATACAATCAGACATTTAAGCGGGCATCAGCGAGCAATGGTCAAGATGGAATATGGGTTGCTGGTCTGCAGTCACACTAGCTGTCACCTCCCGTGTCTGTCTTCCTCCTTGGTTCCCAGGTCTGGACCTGAGGGTGGTGGGGGTTGGGCTATGACCCTGTACTCTTGTACACAAGACTCGGGAGGAGGCAGAGGCAGGGAGTGCAGGGCCAGGGCCCAGGGAAACCCTCATTTTGATGGCCACAGTCTGGAGATAGTCCGTTTGGCATCATCATCATCAGTGGCTTCTGCTTTGTTGACCTGGGTGTGGTGGACTGTGAAATAATGCCACTGACATCCTGGGTGTGGTGGGTGTTAGTTATTTGGCGGCACTCTTACCCTGTGAGGAAATGTCACGAAACACAACAGAATCCACTAACAAGAGTTTTATTAAGATAAGAGAGAAAGACAGGGATACTCAGGCCTGTTAAAGAGATATGTGCATGGGGAAGAAGAAGGAAGCCGGGAATATGGTGCCGGCTTTTAAAGGCTGGGTAGTGCAGGTGTACACAGGTCCGTGTGGCTACTCCACGCATGCACATAGATCACATGGTTGCGTTGCATGCTCTTATGCAACCATGCAAAGCCACAGGGTCCTGGTCACGCGAGACGCCTTGACCTGGAAATGGCTATTTTGACTTGGAACTGGCTATTTTAACTTGGAACTGGCTATTTTGACTTGGAACTGGCTAGGTGGAAGTGTCTAGGTCCACCGGACATGCCCAACTGTGGGGGCGTGTTGTGAATCTATCATCGGGTCTGTGACATAATGCCACTGCCTTCCTGGGTGTGGTGGGCTGTAACATAATGCCACTGCCTTCATGACCATAGAAGTGGAGGGAATTAGCATGTAGGGTCCTTTCCAAGTTGGTTTCAGAGCCCCTTTGGCTATCTGTTTGACCCAGACAGTATCACTGGGCTTGAACAAGGGGAAGCTGGTGGTGGACTTGTGTTGCTCGAATTTCTAAAGGTCTTAAAAAAACAAACAAACAAACAAACAAACAAACAAACAAAAAAACTGGAGCCAGATATGGTGTAAATGCTGAAAGATTAGAGATGCAGTTTTGTCCTTGGAAAAAGGTATCTTTGCTGAAATACTTTTGTCTGGAGAATGGCCCTGGACAGATTTATGTTAATGAAAAATAAACGCAGCTGGGGACAGTTGTCCAATTACTCCAATGTATAGGGAAAGCTGTGCCCAAGATTGAGATGCAATCGTGAGAGTACATATACACATAACATGGATATGCACAGTAAATGGGGAGAATCATAGCTGTTATTACACAAGAAGTTTACAACAAGAGACAGCCAGTTCATTCAAAAGGCAGTAATTCCAAAACGCCTTGCGTGATGGTTTCCTCTAACAGAACCCTTAGTTCTGATAGGTTGACCTTCTGAACACTAGTTGTCACTGCTGTATACTCTCATGGACTTTTGCTACCAGTGGCTCTCAATACATGTTGACATCTAGGTGTCTGGGTTTGGGAGGATTATAGTTTTAGGTGCCGAAATCTAGTTTTGTCTTTGTAAGTGGGTGTTTTGCTCCTCGGTTTCTTTGCCCTCTCTGGTTCTTAGGAGAGTGTGGTGACTATGTGTTTCCTGATAGGAAATTGTTTTGGGATCCTGATAGGTTTGCCCACCAGGGGCTCCAGGTAAAATGTGTTTCTAAGTATTGCAAGCTGATACTTAGAAATGGGTATGGGTTAGGAGGGGTGGGAATGAGGGGGTCCACTGGAGGGAGGAAGCAGGGGTTTCCTAGGAATGGGAGCAGAGAGTGAGGAGAGGCCCAAGCAGGTGGTCTGCTACAGAGCTAGGATGAGACTGGGAGGGGGTGGGGGGGGTGGAGGAGCTGGATTTGGAGGATGGAGGGAGAGGTGAAGATCTACAGTCAGACTACCTGCTTAGCTGGCTGCAGTGGCATGCTGGGGCCCAAGGAATGCGGGTTGGAGTTGGAGGCTGGGATAAAGTAGGGGGAAGGGAGTTTGGAGAGGCAGATCAGTGTGATCTATTCAAAAGGGGTGGGTTGGGGGAGGGAGGCTTCAGCAGGTGTTCTGCTAGGAACTGGGGATAAGACTAGGGTTTTGGAGGAGCTGAGGAAGAAGTGAAGGGCTGTAGTTAGTCCACCTGCTTCCCTGGCTGGAGTTGCATCCTGCTATCTTCATGACCGGAGAGCTCCTCTAAACATTTCCGCTTTGGACAGTTCCTTTTCTTCTTTTGTTTACAGAAGTTTCTTTCCCCCAATGTTCTCCTGCCATCCTCCCACTCAATTTAAAGCATCCTGTAACAATCCAAACTCCCTTTTGGTGGGGCTGCTCTTCCTTCTCTTGGAGATAGCCTGGCAGTTCCCGTTTCAGTGAAGCTTTGTTCTTTGACCTCAGTGCTGCTCTAGCGGTCCAGATCGCTCACAGACTTCACAAGAATAACGTTTAAGTGATCATTCTGATGCTTTCTCTCCCTAGAGCCCTTCCAAATGTGAAGCTCCAGGGAAGTTCCCATCCCTGGCCTTAAATGACTCACTCAAATGCTGCTTCTTTAGCTGGCTAGCTTGGCTCTGTGCTTTCCTCATCCCCTACTGTATCAACACCAGAAGAAGCCACATCCGTCACTGTCACTGTGTTCATTCTTTCCCTCCCCCATGCTGTTTTGTGTAAGAGAGAACTGTTTACAAAGTATCTCTGCAGAAGCCACAAGTTTCTGGAAGTCGAGGACTACATCACAGCACCTAGTATCACCCTCTTCTCTTCTATGAACAGAGCCTCACACATATCAGGTGCTCAATCCATATTTATTAGGTGAATGAATGATAACAAGAATAAAATTGGATGACTAGGTAGTTGTTTTTCTGTTTTACAAGTTCACAAGCAGAAAGCCAAATACATGGTATATATATGAAACCATGCACATGGATGCTGACAATACATAATGCATGAATACCAGCTGAATTTTCATCTTCTTAGTGAAGACTGGCAGGGCTGAGCTAAAGAATATCATGTTGTTAGGGTTCATTTACCCTAATACAGGCAAGGCAAGGGTCTACTTCTGAGCTTCACCTGTACCCTTGAATGCACTTACTGTGAGAGATATCTCCCTAGGGTTTTAGGAAAGGAAGAAGCGGAATGATGTACATCTGGAAGGGAGATGATTCATTTTAATCTTTAGTCTTGCTTAGAATGCTCGATCTCTCTGGAATGATCCTGTTGGTATCTCTCTTCATTTGAGTTGTCCTCCATGTTTGCTATGGTGATTGGGGACCGGGAAATATGTACCTAGGAAACACAGGCACAGAGAGCTTTAGTAATAAAGATGCAAGAAGGATGTGCAAACTTGTAGGACTCAGACACTGTATGACTCTTCCTGCCTCTGGACAGAGAGCCAGAAACAGGAAGTCCCTTCTAGAGACCACCCTCTTAAGGAGTATCTTTCTCCCCTTCCCCCCTCCCCAGAGAGCCTCAGGACTCACTTCAGTGGTTTGATTGTAGGTGAATGAACAGCCATTCCTAGAAGAGCTCTGAACAAACAGCACTAAGCATAAGAGGAGTAAACCACCAAAAACCATTATCCCAGAGACCTGGAAATAGAGTGAATGGAGAGGACATGAAGGCTGATCTGGATGCAGGAATGTCTGAGCATAAACTGTGACTTTGCAATGGGTCACCTCTATGGCTTTGGGAACTCTCACATCCTCTCTCAGGCCCATAGGTAAAAGTCTCTCTGGGTCTTTGAGAGTCTCCAGGACAAATGAAAAGGAACAGCTACTTACTCCCTTATATCTAGTGCCTCTGTAAAGAAGAGGAACCATCTTTATGTGAGGCAAGCACCTTGGCAGGTTGCTCAGATAGAGAGGGAGGCCTGAGGGTGTGGTCTTGTACTCACAGAAAAGGAAAAGGCTGGAAAGGTGATGCCATCCAGAAGGAGGTCGCCTACTGACAACTTTTCAGACTGCCTTGCAGAAGGCCCAGAGCTGAGGCAGTGATGGTGGGTGGGGCCACAACTTGATTAGAAATGCTTAGCTATGTATACCTCTGGCTTTCCAGTTAAACCTAACATGTTAGGAACTGAGAGATAGATCTGGATGGGGGCCAGTCATCCTTTGCTCTGCTTCTTAGTCAGGTCACAATGAATACACCTTTTCTACCTTTCACTATTACTTTGTTTAGTTGGTCTATTTGGGACTGGTAGGCAAATCTAGACGTTTAGAGCCCGACAGCTCTCGTTTCTAGAGTGAAACAGAGTGGCTTCTCTGGGTAAGAGTGAGTAGGATGTGAGGCTATGGACAAGAACAGACAGAAAGCGAGGTGGTTAGAGGAAAGAGGTTCCATGAGCAACATTGGGGGAAGCAAGGCCAACATGAAGAGAACACAGAGAGAGCAGGACCTTCACCAAACACCTCCCCGGGGAGAGGATGATTTCAGCTCCAGACAGGGCACCTCGGCTTCAGCAGAGGGGAGTTTTCTGGCTCAAATACAAGCCTCTGCCGTTGCTCTGAGCATCTAGAGAAACCTAGATCGTTTACAAGTCTATCCCACAGAGATATTTTGAAAAGGGGAAGGAAGTGAGGCCTCTCTTTGGATTGAGAAAAAGAGTCAGTGAAGTGATCCCCAAAGAAGAGGAACCAGGAGCAACCTATGCTTAAGTCCTTTGCTCAGTTCTCTCCAGAAATTCCAATGAGAGAGAGAGAGAGAGAGAGAGAGAGAGAAAGAGAGAGAGAGACAGAGAGAGAGACAGAGAGAGAGAGACAGAGAGAGAGAGACAGAGAGAGAGAGAAAGAGAGAGAGAGACAGAGAGAGAGACAGAGAGAGAGAGAGAAAGAGAGAG